AGGGTAATGTGTGCAAAGCACCAACTACCATTACTTCATCTGAAGAAGAGAACTCTGGGAGCTGAAATAATCAGGGACAGCGTCCTGCTTCTTGAGCAGAGAAAATATGGACCAAGCTCTGCTCGAAAGGCTAATTGGGGCATTTTGGAAGCAGTTTGAAGAAGCAGTTGAAGTTTCAGGTCTTTTCATGGGACAGTCAGTGGAAGATTCTGAACAGGCTTCGAGTTATTCACGCTGCAAAAGATCAGACATTGTGTAAGGCCAAGTATCTTGGGACATTTGACCACTCAGTGTTGGCATAAGGACAAAGGCTACTCAGTGGTCGTCCAGGAAACCCTGGCTAGCAAGGCGGAATGGATTTGTCTTCATCTTGTGAAGCTTATATGGTTGGAGGAGACGAAGAATAATGAATCAAACAATTAGAAATAAAGTGTAAAGTTCCAGTTGTGACTTTTTTGTTGTTTTTATTTTCTCTTGTCACCAGACTCTATAAAGGGAGATTTTAAATTTATTATGGATGTCAAGGAGGCCTCTCTGAGAAAGCACCCTCACTCTGAGGACTTAAAAATGAGTACTATTTTGAGTTAGGGGTTCAGGCAGAGGGATCTTGTGTCTCAAGAGGTAGCCTGTCGAGCTGGTGAGACATAAAGACTGGTGAAGCTGGGACTGTAAGTGAGGACTGCCTGCCTGGTACGACGTCAGACTAGAAAACTTGCAGGGGATTGTGGACTCTGTTAGTCAGGAAATCCTGTGTGTGTGTGTGTGTGTGTGTGTGTGTGTGTGTGTGTGTGTGTGTGTGTGTGTAAAGAGTGGAGAGAGAGAGAGAGAGAGAGAGAGAGAGAGAGAGAGAGAGAGAGAGAGAGAGAGCATAGTTGCAGTACAGAATTGGTTATTGGATGTAGATAGACTGTTAGGGAAATCACTGCATTTGTTGAGTCCTGTCAAAGGTAAGGGCAGTTGAGGCTGAGAAGTGTGTGTCCACTGAGAGCTATTTAGGAAATAATATGTTTAGGACTTGGTTTCTGGCTTGCACTGACTGAACGCGGTGACAGTAATGACAAAGGAAGTACTATAGGAAGATCAGGCTTTGAAGTGTGCCAGTTACTGTTCTCGCTGCCATGACACACTTGACCAAAGCGACTCAGGGAAGGAAGGCTTTGTTCTGGATCCCAGTTTGTGGGGACACAGTTTGTGGGGACACAGTTTGAGGGGACACAGTTTGAGGGGACACAGTTTGAGGGGACACAGCTCATCATCAGAGACAGATGATCACATTACATTTACAATCAGGAACCAGAAAGAGACGAATGCTGCTACCCAGCTCATTTTCTTTTAGCCGTGAAATGGTGTCTCCTGCATTCAGGGTGGGTATTACCTCTTCCAATGAACCTCTCTGGAAATGTCCTTATGGACATGCTCAGAGATGTACCTCCCAGGTGACTCTCAAGTCAGTCAAGTTGACAGTGGAGATGAGCCATCACAAGAGACAAGGTCTGAGATTTATTTTGGACATGCTTTGTTTTAAGGTGTTTTTGAGACACTGAGAAGAAAATAGCAATTAGCTGTTGTTGTTGTAGGTCTTGACACAGAATAGAGCTCTGAACTGGTGCTAATGAACTTTGAGCCTCCACACAAATGTCCAGTGATCTTCACCAAATTGCATGTAGTAGAGCTGCAGAGGAGTGGGTGTGAGAATAGAGAATCAAGGATATCTGGGTGCTAGAACCAGGCCTGAGGAAATCCGGAAAACAGTTGGTCAGTGGGGGAGGATGACTTTGCCCAGGAGGTATGGAGGTTGTGTTTGTATAGCTGATTATGTACACTTGAAACTGCAAACACATTTGTGGTTTGCTTAATGGGAATTCTTAACTGTAGCCTGTAATATCAGGAGCTGAGGCAGCATCTTGTTTCTCGAAGACTTCCCTTGTGTTTGCATAGTGGCCACCACAGTGGAGGGTATATCCTCACAAAACTACGTCTGAAACAGCCTGGTCCAAGTCATTAGAGAATGTCTGTAGTGAGAGACACGTGTTTGAAGCCAGCATGGGCTTATACGGCGAGTTCCAGGCCAGCCTGAGCTATATAGTATGAGCCCCTGAGTTGTAGATCAGTCTGAGCTTTATAGTATGAGACCTTGAGTTCTAGGTCAGCCTGAGCTATATAGTATAAGGCCATGAGATCCAGGCAAGCCTGAGCTATATAGTGTGAGACCCTGAGTTCTAGGTCAGTCTGAGCTTTATAGTATGAGACCTTGAGTTCTAGGTCAGCCTGAGCTATATAGTATAAGGCCATGAGTTCCAGGCCAGCCTGAGCTATATAGTGTGAGACCCTGAGTTCCACGCCAGCATGAGCCATAAAATTTTGAGACTCTGAGTTCTAGGTCAGCCTGAGTTATATAGTGTGAGACCCTGAGTTCTAGGTCAGTCTGAGTTATATAGTGTTAGACTCTGAGTTCTAGGCCAGCCTGAGTTATATAGTGTGAGACCCTGAGTTCTAGGTCAGCCTGAGGTATGTAGTGTGAGACCCTGAGTTCTAGGTCAGCCTGAGTTATATAGTATGAGACCCTGAGTTCTAGGTTAGCCTGAGTTATATAGTGTGATACCCCGTCTCAAAGCAGAAAGAAAAGGAGTGGAGAGTTCCAAAAGGTCAGAGAGAGAAAAAGCACAGCTTGGAACCTCCCCAGCAGGCTCTTGTCATAGAAATGTCCCATAGCCACGTCTAGCTCCAGCAGAGTCTGAGAAAGGCTGTGTATTGGCAGATATCTAGGAAGAAAGGGCACTTTGGTCGGCAGTGGAACAACAGTGGTGTCCCCCACAGAGGACAAAAAGAAAAGGGTCATATGGCATCATAAAGCCAGAAGAAGAGAAAGATTTAAAAAGGAGAGAGAGGTGCCAAATGCTTCTGAAGAGTCAAGGAAATTCAGATGAAACGTGTCCACAGGATTTGAATGATACAAAGGTCACCCGGGCATCAACTTTGGTTTTGGGATGGAGCGGGAAGGTAGTTTATGGAAAGAACCAAACACTAATCTATCCAAGATGAATATTGTCCTTTGCAAGTGAACACAGGCGATCAAAGAAGCTTGCTGTTGTGTAGCTTTAACCAGTCCCCTGTTAAAGACCCTATTGCAAAGACACTATACACTTTGGTCACGGGAAATGGAGAAATCAAGTTGATACTGACTATGAAGCTTCCTCTATGGTTAGCTTTTATAGTACCAGAGGGTACTATTGAAGGCTGCTGGGGTTAAAATCATCAATGGTTTTACTCAGTGTGAACCCTGCGTACTTCAATAATGGGCAAGATGGCCCATGGGTGAAACAGTGGCACAAATATTATGGAGGTAACCCACTGCTTTTAGATTGAATTTAAGACCTAAGACACAGGAGGAAATTCATGCCTGGTACTGTAAATCAGGCTAATGATAGCTGGTTAGGGGACTACCAGGCCCCAGGCAAAACTATTATTTTGCTAAATGGACATAGTGCCATACTGCCCTATGAATTTGTATTTCTATACCTTGTAGATCAGAGCAGCTCTTAGACATCAGGGGTGTGTGTGTGTGTGTGTGTGTGTGTGTGTGTGTGTGTGTGTGTAGTGGATGGTGGGTAATGTAGAAACTCACAACTGGTCAAAGAGCAGAGAACAAATGTCAATGCAGTGCTCAGCTACGATTGGAACAGCTGCATCCTCCTCCCTGCCAAGGCTCAGGGACTGTCATGGAAGAGGGACAGGAAAGAGTGTAGGAGCTGTAGGTCAGGGAGGACTGGATTGAAACTGTCTTCTGGATGTGACAGGATCACTGCATTCATCAACTCACAGAAGACCAAGCCAGCTGTGTTGGAGAGAGAGCCCAGTAGTTAAGACATCCACTGCTTTGGCAGAGGACCCAGGTTTGGTTTTCTCTGCACGCAAGTGATGGATCACAATTGCCTCCAGTCCAGAGTCTCTGACCTCCTTTTCTGGCTTCTGTGGGTATCTCACACATACATGGCATACATACATGCATACATACATACGTGCTTGCATGCACACAAACAGAGATGAATAAATCTTTTTAAAAGATCAAGCCAGTTAGCATTCTAACATGGAGGGGTGAGGAGCACATAACTGAGGAGCAATTGACCACTGATGACTTCTAGGGAGGGAGAGTCACTTTTCTTTAAGGGTGTGGTCCCTGGTTTACTGGATCTCCCCGCACCCATGAGTATATGGACAGTAAAAACTGGACTCTTGGGGCTATTATGAAAAAAAGAGAGGATATGAAGTTGGGAGGGGATGGGAAGTGAAGAGTGGATATGGGCAATTAGGGGGATACATAGGGGTGAGTATGATCAAAATATATTGTCTAAAATTCTCAAAGGATTAATAAAACATTTTACTTAAAACAAATGAAAAACCAAAATACAAATCTCCTATAACTCGGACTCAGTTCTAGCCAGTAAATCTACAGGGGGCTTCTGAGGTCCACTTTTTCTTTATGACAAGAAGAATGGATTTCTGAACAAGCACTAAAATTACTGTTTTAGTCCAATTCAAGTGTCACTTGGTATTTTTTCAACCTTAGGCAGGATAGGAAAGTTGGCCTCAGTTTCCTAACTGCAGCTTGGCGCTTGTGAGGTAACGTGTGTGGAATGCTCAGTGCAACATCTGACAAAGAATTGGTTCACTCCAAAATATGAGCTTGTACATGACCTCATGTGGTGCGGATTTACCCTCTCATGGAGTTCTTAGCTGCAGCAGTCCAAGTCTACATTATATAAGTATAAATTGCTAGAGACTTTCATTATTTCCTTTGTTAGTGCAATTTGCAAAGTGCTTCTGAATGGCTTTGGAATAAAGCTTGATAAAGCTAAGGGCTGATATGATGTCTAGAAATGTGATAAGTACTTTCTAATTTAATGATTAAATTGAAAAATGACTACTAAAATGATTTATTATATCTTCAAGGGTGATTTTCCTGGTAAATTTTATTATAAATTGTATTTTCTTCCTTACAGTGTATCATTGTCAATTATTGGAATGTCTCATGAAATATAAGCAAGAAGTCTGGAAAGTAAGTTTTAGATTAATATTGACTCATATTCACTAACTTAATTTATATAAATTGTAAAAATTACATATTATAACTTGTTTTGATCAAATTTGTACCTGTCTTATTATTTTGATGTGGTAAACCTGTACTTTATTTTTACTTGTAAAATTATCACTTAGAACAGAAATGAAACTTTAAGAACAGAGTGTCTTGACAGAATAGTTGAATGTATCTTATTCATTGAATTAGGCAAATATTATATTGCATGACAAGTATAATTTTAATTTGAAATTGCTTGAGAATTTCTTTTTTTTTTTCAAATGGCAGATATGAATTGTTATTGTTAAGAAATGTGATTAGGGAAACATTTTTTTTTTAACTCAGTGTTTGGTATGTGGGCATACACTGTTGTAAAAAAAATCATTCTTTGATTTGAATCTCATTAAAGGATTAATGGACAGTGCACTTTTGAACTCTCCTTGGGGGCATCATTTGCAGGACATATAAACAGACACATGAATAAATGATGAAAATGATGGGCTAACATAATTTAATCTGAAGAGTACACCTGCCTGATGGTCTCCAGGGAAACGACCCACCTTAAGCTATTAGAATTTCTACTGCTTTGGTAGTCTTGGGTTGTGCGATCTTTATTTTTATTTGATGACGCTGAGTCGGGATGTTCTTTCCTCCTGCAGGACCTTTTGTATGTGATTGCATATGGGCCTTCACAGGTGAAACCCCCAGCGGTGCAGATGCTTTTCCACTACTGGCCCAACCTAAAGCCCCCTGGGGCAATAAGCGAGTACAGGGGGCTGCAGTACACAGGTAAGAAGAAGAGCTTTGGCGGCCCGAGTTCAGCTCTCTCGTGCCACCCAGGCCTCACCCTATGTTAAAGAAGACCATACTAGACCGGTAGATATGGTCACGAGTCCTTTCTGACACTGGGTTTAAAAAGAAGGTAATTAGTCAGGTGCAGTCATTCAGGCTATTAGGGGAGGCTGAGGCAGGAAAATCAGCCGAGCCTGGGAATTTGGGGACCATCCAAGGCAACATAGCAAGATCCCATCTCTTAAGATAATCTACGGTTGAGTGTGGTGGTGCAAGCATGTGGTAATTCCAGCCCCCGGGGAGAGGAGGAAGGAGGATCAGAAGTTCAAAGTCAGTCTTGACTACATAGCAAGTTTGAAGTCATCATGAACGACAGAAAAACATGTTTCAAAACAAAACAAACCAAACCAAAGGATAACAAGCAAAAAACCCATAATCATACCAATTTATCAAAGCAGATTGCCTAAGCCCTTATCCCAGTTGCTATCCAAAGGGCCTGCATCTTGCCCACTGCTAAGATGAATTACTACAAAGCCATAAGGGACGGGAACGAGACTACAGATTTGCTCTCCTTATGAGAAGCCCCAGCTACCTAATTCTGTTCTTGTAAGATTCTTGGCCACATTTCCAGTGTTACCAGAAGGGTTTCATCATGGCAACGAAACAGTAACTTCAAATACAATGACAGAGTTGGGCATGGCGGCCCACTCCTATGACCTCAGCGTCCTGCAAGTAGAAGTGAGTTCTGTGGAGTTCAAGGCCAGCCTGGGCCACACAGTGGGTTAAAAGCCAGCCTGAGCTATATGAAACCCTCCTTAAAAAAATAGTGACAGATGTCTACCAAGAAACTTGCAAAAAAAAAAAAAAAAGACAGAAGGATTGACTGACACAAGGGTTCTAGGTTGCTGCTTATATATCATAAAGTATAAGAAAATTCCAGTGGCTAATGGAGTTTCTGATGTCCACACACTCCTCCCCTCAACAGTATTATCCATGTGTTTTACACTGTGAAAGGCAGATTCCAAGTGGATGTATACTAGGATAACAAGGGGCAGCAATGTTAATGCAGGGAAGGTAGACAGAATTCTTTAAAGTTGGACAGCTCTTTATTGATATTTTGTATTGTTAATAGCAGAGAGTGTTTCACTGTTGCTAGCTGAATAATTTGAATGTAAAAAAACCCAGCAAATACTTAGCATGTCAGTAGAGTAAAGAGCGAAATGGCTGAAATACTTGACACCGACCCTTTTTTCATAGGGTTCCTGACCTAAGTGTCAACCCCCTGTGGTGTGTGGATGGGTGACTGATACCAATGAGATTTACTTATATGATAATATTTGATGAGACAACTGGGTTCCAGGCTCTGTATTTTTGTTGTTAATATGGGATTCTACACAAAAACAGACCTCATTAAACTGAATACAGCCTAGATTCAGAAATTCATTTTGATTCAGCAAATATTCACAGGGTATCTAGATGTGAAAATTCATTTTATTCAGCAAATATTTATGGCCAAATGCTGTTGGCCAGGCATTTCTCTGTGTACCAATGAGGAAAACAAAGCAGCTTGTAGTCATTAGCATCTTGGAGCTTCCACACTAGTCGTAGGGGAATATCCAGAGACTGCCTCCTAGGGCTCCTAGTGCTAAGGTAGAGCAAAGAGATCTGTGGGAATCATGGGAGGGCTACTAGCTCATCCTGGTCATAGACAAGTCTTGGGGAGAGGCATTTGTTAAGGGAGGTTCTCCAGTGAGTGAAGCTTTAGCTGGTAGCTGAGGCAGTGACAAGTATGTAACCAGACAGAGGAGACCGTGAGCGCATAAAACATGAGTTTAAGGTAGAAGGAACGGCTTGTGAGGTGGACACAACAGACAGCTTGGTGGTGTTTAGGGACTGGAAAATGACCAGACAGCTCTGTGGAATGAGGACGTCAGTGGAAGGCTGGCTAGCTATGCTTGTGGAAGAGTTGGGGCTGTTTTCCAACAGCAAAGGGGGTTTCCTGATATAAGTTTTGGTGAGACTCACTGTCCAGAGCATCCCACAATCCCCAAAGCTGAAAGTCATTTCCACTTATGGGGTAGCCAAAACCTCTAGCAAGGACCAACCAACGCGTACTTAGTAAGATTGGTTCAGCATTTGCATGCTAAGATCAGAGCAATCCTTTCTTGTTCTCTTGGACTGATGGAGAGGTAGTTGACTAGGGCCATCACTCGGAGGTCTGTCCATGCAGTCACGAGTCTGGCTTCCCTTTGTTCACTGCTCAGTCCCAAGTGCTACGGGTAGTCGGGCACCACCCTCACAGATGACGGGCTTTCTTAGCATTCCCACTCTAACAGACCATGAGGGGGACAGAGAGCCACAGGAAAAAGTCACCCTGTGGTCTCTATCGCTGGGCATCTGGCACCAGATGCCTGTTGGATGTTGTTCTTGTAGCTTTATACCTTGGCATTTCCTGCTTCCATGTTAGTGTACTGGTGTCTTGATTAGGCAGCCATATTGTTGAGGTGTACCTTCCCTGACATTTTTAGGAGGTACACTATCACATCAGACGTTGGGGCCTCTGGCTTCTACACTTCATCTCTCTCTTCTGAAATGTTCCTTGATGCTCACGTGCAGGGATCGTCATACAGATGTATTGGCTGAAGCTAGGCAACTCATGACCTGTTTGTTCTCTGTATTTTGACCAATTCTGTGATGTGACTGTCTGTTGAAAAAAGTTTTTTTAATGAGTAAGTGCTACTTATCAGGCAAAGAGGTTCCCTAACCTATTTTCACTTTTAATGCATGTGTGTGTGTTTGTGTGTGTGTGGTGTGTATGTGAGTGCTTGTATGTATGGAGGCCAGAGATCAAATGCCAGATGTCCTCTTCTCCCACTCTTTATTGTCTAAAACGAGCTTTTTCACTGAACCTGGATGCCACTGGTAGTTTGGCTGGCCAGCAATCCTGTCATATCTTTCTATTTGTACCTCTCAACGCAGGATCACAGACTCATGCAGCCCTGCTTGACTTTTTACATGTGTGCTGGAGATCCGATCTCAGCACCTCAGGCTTGTGTGGCAATCACTTCACTGCCTGAGCCATCCACCTCTCCAGCTGTCCCCACCTTTTATTACAAAAATTGCAGGAGCTGGAGAGATGGCTCAGCAGTTAAGCGCGCTGGCTGGTCTTCTGGAGGCCCTGGTTTCAGTTCCCAACACCCACATGACAGCTCCCAACCATATGTAACTCCAGTTCCAGGTGATCTGACACTCTCTTCTGGCCTCTGTGGGCACCAGGAGCACATGTGATGCATAGCCAGACATTCAGACAAAACGCCCATATGAATAAAATGAAATAAAACAAAAGAGAAACAAACAATAGAGTGATTGTCTTGTTACAGCACACCAAATAGTAAATGACTTAGGGTTGTCATTTAGTTTCCATTTAACTATGGGACACAGGTACACCATAAGGTCACATTTCTGCACAGAACAGAGAGAATGGGAGGTGCATGATAAGGCAAAGTGTGGTCTGGATTATTGGATATCTAACCCATGTTAGAGCACTTGGGTTTTGAGACATGTGCATGAGGAGGTTGAGCCAGGCCTTTCTGCTGTGCATTCCCGTCCTCAGGCTCACTCTTCCCTTGAATTATCTTGATTTTGTATCTATATAACTAGAATCTCTTAAGACTATTTTGTTGGTGCAGTTATATACACACATGAAACCACAAATAAGTGTGTGTGGAGCCCTTCCCACTCTGTGTTTCTTGAGTGATGGCCTCCCTCTCCTTTCAAATGATGTTGAAGAGGTTAGTTTTACCCGAGTTTGAATTTTATAAAAATGGAAGCATCCATTACGTGTGTGTGTGTGTGTGTGTGTGTGTGTGTGTGTGTGTGTGTGTGTGTAAATTCGTTATCTGTGTGCTGAGGATAACTGTTGTTTGTTTACCTTTATTGTTACACATTGTCCACAAAATTCATGTACCACAATTTTTATATCTTCTTTACTATTACTAGACATTTGGGTTGTTCCTAATTTTTGGTTGTTGAAATAATGCTACTCTGAGCATTTTTGATACGTCTTTGATGTGGAATGTATCCCTATGAATGAGCCTGCTGAGTAAGAGGCACATGTGTACTCAGCTTTAATAGGTGATAAGCAGCTTCCCAGTTCAGTTATGCTAATCCACACTCTCATTAGGAGTGCGTATTTACAGTACTAGCTTCATTAAACATTCTTTTATATATCATATAATTATTAGAACAATAAAATACACTTCCTTTCTAATCCACAAGACTTTTATGGATTCTTTTAAATCCATAATTTAACGTCAGTCATATTAATCGTACAGAGGGCTTTCAGCAGGACATTGCTACATGTGCTTACAATGGCAAGTCTCATTTTATTTGCCAATCTATCACATTTTTTTCAGAACGTTATTGTCTTAGTCAATCGTTCTTTTACTGTGAAGAAACATCATGACCACAGCAACTCTTATAATGGAAAACATTTAATTGAGGCTGGCTAACAGTTTAGAGGGTTAGTCCATTGTCATGGCTGGAAGTGTGGCAGCATGCAGGCAGACATGGTAGCTGAGAGTTCTACCTCTACCAGGTCAGCAGCAGACAGACACTGGGACTGGCTTGAGCATTTGAAACCTCAAAGCTCACCCCCCAGTGACACACTTCCTCCAAGGCTACACCTACTCCAACAAGGCCACATGCCCTAATCCCTGTCAAGTATCACCATTCCCCTAATGACCAAGCATTCAAATATACAAGCCTCTGGGGGCCATTTCTATTGAAACCATCACAGTTATTGTCTATCCTTAATGCTTAACATGTTTCCCTATAGAAATTCCAATGATCTCATCTTACATTAAAGCTCATGATTGAGCATTAGTTGATTTTTGTACTGATGAGAAGTCGGGATCCAGTTTCAGTCCTTGTACGTGTGGATATCCACTTTCCCCAGCATCTCTTGTTCAAGATTTTTTTCTTTAGACAATGTGTGT